TTTTTTTCGATACCAAATCATATCGGATAAGGTGATTTCAATACTCTTGTTTTTTATAAGGAATATGTAGCGAGGTTTATCATGTTATGTTGACCCCTGTGGTTGGTTCTCTACATGTAGGCGGTCCTTCCTCATTCACTGATTATGTGACGTTATTAATTTTACAAACGTCGTAATTGGATTCTTATCATCATTTAAAAAGTATTTCTAAAAAAATTATTCGATTTAAAGACTGTTTTGGTCATCATATGAATTAAAAAGGTTAACGATTCATTACGAGGATGTTATTTGTTATCATATGTGTTAATTTATTTAACATATATGGATGACTAAACAATCTTTAAACTGAATAAAGTTCTTAGAGCCGACCTTTTAAGAATATTACAAAATCGAATAGTTTCAATTATAAAACGTTTAGACAATAATATAATGCAACATCATTATAATGGGGAAGAATAAAGCTAAACACATAAGAATCTAAGTATTGTTGTTGTTACGACATTTTTGTTACTTTTTAATTATTTATTTATTTAAAATTATGTGCATGTAGAAAGCTGAGTGGATTTGAGTTTTTATTTTCCAAGGCCTCACTCCTATCTTATGTGACAAATATGCGGCTCCTAGCAATGCAGGCTCCATATAAAATTATAACTTTTTGGCAGATATTTTGTACGTCACAATATGCATTGATGGATCGATATCACCGCACGCATATGACATGACAGATATGTTACCTCGTATCATTCACAAATGAGGTTTTTGTTTGGAGCATGTAACTAAGATCTAGACCTGTTATCTATCTAATTTGAACTTAATTAAGGTTAATTAGCATAATAACATGTCCATGGTGATTTTTTTTTCAGGTACTGGAACAATTGATGGGAAATTCGATTGCGGCTATCTCGTTACGGTGAAATTCGGTTCGGAGACTCTCAGTGGAGTACTCTACCACCCTAACCAGCAGACTCTAGCCGCTTCTCCTAATCCAACTCCATCCCCCGAACCTGTCAATGCCATTGTACCCTACACCCCCCAAAGATCTGTTCGTGTTGCGGGTTCGAGGAGGAGGAGGAGATCAAGGAGGAGGACAGATCCCAACTACCCAAAACCCAACCGGAGCGGCTACAATTTCTTCTTTGCTGAAACGCATTTCAAGCTCAAGTCCCTCTACCCAAACAGAGAGAGGGAGTTTACCAAGATGATTGGCGAGTCTTGGAACAAACTCCCTGCAGAAGAGAGGCTGGTAACTACAGACAGATAACGTATATACTCTGTAGCAGGCATCTGTTGTACTATTGCAAAAAAAGGGGACAATGGGGCCCGTAGGAACTTTGTATTTAACCGTATAGGATCCTTGTATTCTGAAGCAAAAAAGGAAATCAGTGAAATATACAAGAGATCCTTACGGTGAATACATGCCCCCCCCCCCAAAAAAAAAACTATCCCCTTTTTGCTACAGTAAAACGGGATCCCAATTTAGCTGCTCCTATATATACATGGTTGCGTAATTTCCTTCTTTCATATACATATTTATCGCATTCTTTTGTCAATTATCAGGTTTACCAGAACATTGGGTTGCAAGACAAAGAAAGATACAAGAGAGAGTTAAAAGAGTACAAGGAAAATTTGCAGCTCAGGATTCAGGCTGGCCATGGAAATTAACTAGGTCGATTCCAGTTTGAGTTAGCTTTTCGGATGTTTGTCGAGAGAATAATGTAGCAGTCTCTGGTTTCCAAACAGAGTTTTTGCAACCATTTTGCTCTGAGACATGATCTAATTCTCAATCTTTAGTTTCAAACTTTCAATGCACAATGCACTTAGCAACTCCTTCCTTGTTTCGATCTTTTTTATCGTATATTGTTAAGAGCATAGAGGGTGGATTTCAGTTTTTGTATGAAATGAAGCTCCATTGATATCTCATTTTATTGCAAATTGCGTTTAATCCATTAGAAACAAGGGGGGAAACAGAATGTTGTATATTTACAACAATAAAGAACCAGCAATCGGGGAGCTCGTTTTTGAATAACTATTTTATCACGTTTATTTTATCCGGGAGGAAAACGTGGAATAAGAAATAGGAGCAACTGAAATGCTTATTTGGCTGAGACTTTGAACAAAATAGTAAAATTATTTTATGTTTAATTTACTATATTGTCCATAACTTTAATTTTATTTATTTTTTGTTTGTTTTGTGAACAGGGTTAATTTGATCTTTTACCAACTTTCAATTACAAAGAGAATTTGGTTAATAAGTAGCTTTAGAATTTTACAAGAGCTTTGTTCTCCTAAGCATCAAAAGACAGTAAAGAGAACGAATAAGATTTAGTTAAATCTCAACCGCTCACTCATAAAAATGATGCACAGGAGAGAATCATGAGGTTACCATATCTGAAATTAGTTACGACAAGTTGACCTTTAACATCAGGTATCTCATGATTTACAAACCTCTTCACTACTCTCTCTCGCCTAATATTTTCCCCATGAAATTTTCGATCATCAAACATAATAAACCCCTCGCTGAACTGATTGGAAAACGTACACAATCAAAGGATATTAAGGTTTCACTGATCGTGCAAACTTAATATAAAAGCAGCATCACCTTCAGGAAGATTGTTTCAGAAATCAGACGGAACAAGGACTTTGCCACGTTGAGATGTCAGTGATCAGATCCCGTAGTTGATCTATAAGAAATTTGATATACACATTCTTGTTCGTAAGCTCCTACAAAGAAAAACAACGTCAGTACAAACTTTTACAGAAATATTGGAGCAAGAAATGTAGCGCCCTTGAAAGATTAAAAATTCCAAACAAAGTCCAACCCCTCCACTAGCGAATCTATTTCTAGACATGGTATATGAGAAATCATCAACCATACCTTTCTCAAATCGGACGCTCGCTCATCCAACTTCTCAATTTCAGCTTGATCTGCCGGTGATTCTGAACCAACAGCAGTTGAACTGGTTTTGGATGTTGCCTATTTTAAAATTTACAACTGTACGTTAGCTAACTATAAGGTTCACAAACTATGACATCTCAATGTGAAATAAAATCATTCCAATTAGATGCATACACACACATAAACTCAAGACAAACAACTATTCACGATCACAATATACCACTCTTATAACATTCCAGTTTTGGGATTTGGATCCTCTCCTGAGCTAACGGAGAGGATCCTCCTGACCAAGTGTTATGGCCCGTTGGATTTTCATCCAACGGCTACAAACAGGTGGGTCCTTTTAAAGTTATAATAATTATAGCCGTTAGATGAAAATCCAACGGCCCATAACACTTGGTCAGGAGGATCCTCTCCATTAGCTCAGGAGAGGATCCAAATCCCCAGTTTTGCACTGAAGCATTTGCTGCATTTCACGCAGTTTGGGATTACGGGTAAACGGAGCAAACATTTCGTTCAATTCAGCGGTTAAAGCTCGTCACTTTCATACACAAAATCAACAGAAATCTCTACTCATCCAGTCCAACACAGTGGTTCAATCAATCAAGAACTTCATTTATTTTCTTGATTTTTATAAATAAAAAACACTGCACTGGATCCTCCATCACACAATTAACACTTGAAGAAATCACACTTTACAGGATCTTTGGCATTGGTTAAATATGAATACATAAACGTGATTATGCAGGCAATTTCAGTATTTAATTTGACAAGTATGGATGGAAAATTAACCAAATTAAAGAAAAGGGTGTCTGAAATCACCTTCTGAGAGTTGGGAATTGCAGCGAGAACGGCACGAAGCAAGCCCACAGAGTTCTTATACCGAAATCGAGCCTCCTCAAGAGCTCCTCCGGTGCCAGGACCACCAGCGCCAACTAAGTCTCCATGTTGATGGGAAAAAGTGTTTTCGGAAGAAGACGAATCGCCGTTATTGACGCCGTTTGAGTGGAAAGAAGGGCCATTTGCAGTGTTAGAGGAGGCGGTGCCGGTGGTGGACCACAAGGTGGGGTTGCAGAGCTCGTCGTTCATGGAGGAGAGGATCTGGAAAGCTGCCTCGATAGTTTCTTCTAAATGCTTCTGGCCTTCCATTGCTAGCTCTTGCGTCGTCTTAGGGCTTGCTGTTAATTCATTCGAATCCTTCTCATCCATTATTTTCGACTCTGTTGTCTGTTGACGAACGATTGAGAAGGATTCTGAGACGAGAGAGAGAGGAGAGAGAGAGCGAGACTGCGCGACGGAGAGCGACAACGGAGAGGGGAAAAGTGTTTTGGCAGATGGGCCAAAAGCCCAATAAAACAGGAGTTTTTTACGTGTTGAGTTGTGGATCTTATGTTATTGGGTCTTTGCACTGTTTATTTATTTTTTCAAATATTGTTCGGGGACATTCGACCGAACTAGCATATATTTTCGGCAGTAACCTACCGAAAAAAATAAAATAGATGATATTAAATCTACATTTGTGTATTTAATTTGTTTCACTGGAGTTTAGTACAAAATGGAACATCTGAATCGCCGAAGAACTACCATGGTTGAAACCTATATATATATATATATATATATATATATATATATGTTAGTCTGAAACTGCAACCATCTTTTGTTATTTCTCATCAATCATGTGTTCCAAAGAACCCTCATCCATCATTCCCGTGCTGCAGGTCTTAGTTTGAAAGTGGCGATGGCGTACATGAAGTATATTAACTTGCTGGCGTCGGAGCAGGGTTGTCCAATTTGAAGGAAGCTTGTCGGAGGTTAAACTTGGCATGCCTCGGACGTTGACATCAAGAGGCAGTAACCGGTACTCAATATCGAGCTCTCTGAACACTTTGAGTAACACTTTGTCCTTCCCTCGGCAAAATCGTTCCGCAATTTTGAATATTTGTAGGATAAGGATACGGGGAAATTAGGTTGGTGGCTTCTTGGTTTTGAAAAAGATGGATTTTAGTTGGGATGGTGAGATATTACATATCAGGTTGGTGTTTTGAATGAATTTTCGTTGATTGGGCAATCTAATTTGATATATTCAAATCCAAACCAGGAGACATGAATTCAAACTTATCAACACTACGAATGGCTTCAAATAGGCACGAGACAGTTTTCCCACGAAGAGTCTGAACATTTACTTTAGATTAACAGAACAAATTCCAACGGAGCATATATAGAGTCGGAGGGAAAGAAATGACTTGTGAAGAGATGATTTACAGACGTATTAGAAACAAAATCCTCTCGCAAGTCTTTGGTACGATCAGCCGCGTCACATCACTCGTCTGCCTAAGAATTTCTCCTCATTTGGCACTACCATCACCGCCTTGCTTGAAAGTAGGTACTACTTTAGCTGATTTTCCCTTTCGTCTATCCTCACTTCCCTTTGCAACCTGTAGCGTGCCAAGACATATTACAATTGCTCATTCGGAACGGAAAGGATAAGGAAGCATAAGGACGAGTGTTGGATCTTTTTCCCCGTACCTTCCTGGCCAAGTGCTGCAACATATTTACAATTTCTGAAAATTCCGGTCTCAATGATGGGTCTTGCTGCCAGCATCTCTCCATCAGTTCCATCAGCATTGGATTCGTGTGGCTCGGAATTGTAGGCCTCAGACCCTTCTGGACTACGCCAACTGCTGCTTGTAACGGAGTTAAGTTCTCGTAGGGAAGCTGACATTTCAGTCACAAAACACAGACAGAGGATGGTGTGAAGTCTGTGCAACCATGAACTAGTTTAAAGATAAACAAAAGCATTAACCGGAATAGTTTTTCATGGTATAAAAGAGATTACCTTCCCTGTAAGCAGCTCCCAGAGAACAACCCCAAAGCTAAAAACATCAGCTTTATGATTGTATGGCCTATGTTCTATAACCTTCCGTAATCAACAGAAAGCAATCATGTGTCAGACACTAGTGTGATATCCATATGCTTAATTCCAATGAAGCAAATAAATGGTTTAATACTTAACAACAAAGGATAAATATCTAGGGAAAACAGACCTCGGGAGCCATCCAACGGTAAGTGCCAGTTTCTGCAGTCATAACACCAGACTCTGCCCGTACTCTAGCGATGCCGAAATCAGCTACTTTCACTACCTGTCAACAATAATTTCAAACTTAAAGAAAATCAAATTAATTAAATTTGATCACCATGTTAAATCTACACACACTTTAGAATAACCTGATAAGCTCCTGTCAAGAAAGAGATGTAACAAGGACAAGAACGCATGCGTCCTGCCCATGCCTCCTTTTAGTTTTGAGAAAAGTATAATAAATAAAAGCACATATAAATGCAGCATATTTAGGAGACACAAAGAATCTATTACTCCAGTTCCGTCCATCAAAAGATTAGCAGCTTTCAAGTCCCTATGGATTATATTGTTTTGGTGCAAGTAGTTCATTCCCCTGGAAACATCAATTGCGACTCTGAGCAAGGACAGAAGTGATAAAACACCCCTTTGCTTATGCAGAAAGTCATACATACTTCCACCAGACAGAAATTCTGAGAACGAAAAAGAAATATAAAAAGGCATAACTCAAATTGAACAGAAAACCATGTGTGGGCATAAACAAATATAAATAAATAAATTACAAAAGCATGGTACTGAATGTGCACATAATTCATCCAAAATTACCAGTAATGATGCAAAGCTTAGGAGGTTTAGTGCATGCCCCAATAAATTGAACGACATTCTTGTGCCGAACTTTTCTGCCAAGACAAAACAAGTTTGAGAAGTGCAAGATTAAATGCATGAAACACGATTTTGAGAGCAGCCTTTCTCCCTCTTGAGCATTTACCTTATTAATGAAAGCATTAAGATGCACAACGAGAGTGCTTAAAAAACAACAACAAAGAAAGTACAAGGGAACTCAGAGCCTGGAGTAAGGATGTGCTGTGACATTACCGACCTCATAATATAGACTTCTTGAGTAAACTCCTTCATAGTTTCATTCAGGCGCTCAGTGCTAAGAACTTTAATAGCCACATCTCGACCACAGTAACTACCTTGATACCTGTGTCAATTAACCTAGCTATTTAACAAGTACTCATTTACCAATTAAACATGGCCTAGCATGTTTAGTGTTGACAGAACTTACAAATCACCATTCGATCCAGATGCAATTTTCTCCTCATATCTCAACATGCTTGCATCAATTTCCCAGACATCCTTTTCCTCATTGAGTGTGCTTACATGATCATTAATAAACTCCATTCCAGTCTCTTGATCCGGAGGAGGAGAAATGATGTTACAGTCCAATGAAGGATTCTTCTGCAATACAAATATCATGCTTAATCGACAATAATTAGAGAATGAAAATTGTTATCAGTAATCGGAATCTATAAAAAAGTTAAGTTCGCACTAAAGGACCTACCTCATTCCATGGTATTTGTTTTGCCAGTGCATGCCTAAGCCTCTCAGTTTCCTACAAATTTACATTAAACATGTATGTCAAGCAGTTTATCATTGTTTTGTAGCAGAATATGAACACGGCAAGCCAATACCTCACATGGCCAACCATCAACAACAAAGACATCCAAAGAGTAGCCATCTGTTGTGGAATAAGCATGTGCTTCTTGAATGTTCAATCCAATGTCAGATAATAAGGATGTCAACTGATGCAAAACATAAAATTTTGAACAGTAAATTAGAAACGTTGTTTGAATACACAAACTATCATTTTTCTAAAAGGAACAACCATAAAAATATTACAGAAAACATTTCCAAACGGAACTAACTGAAATGTTCTACACATAAACATCAATTTTGTCAATTTTATCTGCAAAAATATAAAGACGAGATTCCCTTGGGACAATTTATGGCACAAGATATGGCGGGACAAATAAAATACAGTATAGATCAACCTTGACTTTGATAGTGAACTCTACTGATAACGATTTACTTGAATCTCAACAAACCACCCACCATGATTGACTAAACAGGCTACCTCTTATTGATAACCTGAGTGGGTTTAACATAGAGTGCCAAAGGATTCGAGACAGTCACAAGCCTTCCAGACCCTCTGAAAAGGTCAAGAATCAGAGTGAGCATCAGGGCGACGATACACTTTGAGGAAGTAATCTTTAAGCATAACAACATTGGGTGGAGGGATGGGACCAGGGCCCACTATAATTTCCTAAAACAAGTGCATGCCATCCTCACTATTTGTCGGAATTTCAAATATGAAGCTAAAGAATATCAAATATGAAGTTAAACAATAAACACCTTATATATGTCAGAAGATTCGGAACTGTAAGTGAATCACATCACATACTATGCAGAACGTATGTTGAAAGAGATTATAAAAATCCTAAGAAATGCTTAACATGTTAACAATAGTTTACATCATCGGGAAATATCAACAAAGATGATGTAAATTGAAAACCACAATATATTGATTGACATTGCAGAACAGCAATGTTAAGGATATATTAAAAGGGGGACAACAAATCTACCTCACTGAGGAGTTTGGGCTTGTCATTCGTGGAAATAGTAATTTCATGCATCGACCTGTAAATTTGAAGTATAGCAAAGTTAATCAGATAAGAACAATGTAAAACTATAGCAATCATTTATCTGCTGTAATTCCTTCCTGTCAAAGATCTTCTCATACACAGCGAAGTCATAGGAGACATTCCTATATACATATAGAAATGATAGGTATAGAAGGCAGTACGGATAATGTAAGTCGGGAACAGATAACATTGTACTGCAAAATGGAGAAGTATCTTCTTTCATGTACACCATCGTGTGAAAATGATGACAATCATAAAGACCGTATTTCAGACCTACATACCTTGTAAAAAGTTGACTGGCATACACAGAGTTATCGCCCTGGTCAACGTGTAACTGTTCAGCTTCAAGAGCAAGTTGAAGGTCTGGTGACAAACCAAAAGCTGGCGGTGGATGACTGAAAGCATAAGATATGGAAAGAACGTGTCATATGAGAGATTAAAGATCAATGTATTCAAATTTCAATAGAGAAAGCGAACTCCAAATAAATATTCATATAACCGTGCCTCTCTTTGCTGGCAGCAGCAGAACATTGAGCATTCGCTTTCCTCGATGAATTTGAGCCGGAAGCAGAACGAACCTGCATAAAAAATTGGCTAAGCAAACAACTTCCAATGCCAATAATTCCGAGACCAAGACGAACTTTACCTGCACAAGACGAACTTGGACTGCAGGTCTAGTGGCCGGGTCATGCGCCATATGCAGTAATCTCTTATGCATCAGAACATCTTGTGCCCTCTCCACATTCACATCCAACGCATATCTTCGACAACAAAATCACATCAAAAATGCAATCGTGCAAGCAAACGTTCCGACCGAAGATTAAAAAATAATAATATACTAGCACTGATACGTATACCAACAAAAATTAATTCATTACGTAAGACAACAAAAATAGTGAAATGGGAAACATGTGCGTGCCCGACTGAAAAAGAACAAAACATTTATATACTCGAAGGACACGTATATGTATTTGAGTCGGCGGGTCATATGTTTTTTTTTTTTTTTTTTTTAGGCAGGTGGGAAGGTGATGAATTTATAATACATACACAGCCAAATAATAAAAGTAAAAAATTAAATTGGAAAAAAAAAGTATCTTTTCACAACTTTTTGGCTTAAAAAGTTTTAAGCCTTGCCTTTCTTTCTTCCAACCAAAAAAAGTTAAAAAAGGTTTGGTTTTCTCAGCAATCAAATTATGGCCACTTTAAATCCTTCCCTATTCAGCATCAACTGCACAATTTCAACGAAAGGTGACGAATTTACGCTCAAAATTCAAGGATTTATTAAATTTAATCAGTCATGCGACAGTGACATCTTTTTTAATCCATCTATTTTTCCAAACAGAACCAAAAAAGAATCATCAAAGATTCTGATCAAACCAGAATCAACAAGGAATATGCAGTTCCACCGATTACAATTTAGAGAGAGAGAGAGAGAGAGAGAGAGCGCGCGCTAGGGTTCTGAAGGTTACCTAGTGGGGAGGCGACTGAAATGGGCCCACAGTTCATCTTCGAAACCAGGAACCTTGGCCTCTCCGACATCGGAGTCCTGGAGCCGACCAAGGACTTCATTGTAAATGCTCACTTTCAGCTTCTGCTTTCGGGTCGGAGCGGGCAAAAAGTCAGCGGGCCTGTTACAGAAACTCTCGGTGTCTTCCATGATTCTTCTTCGCGATCACCATCCACGGCAGCACATAACCGAGTCCGCGTAAGCAAAAGCCCCTCGGTCGGTCCCTCCCTCTGCCTCCTGGACCTGGTTAGTGCTAGTTGTACAGGAACAAAACGACAGCGGGTTTCCTAGTGTCTTCGCTTGTACGGAAAGAAACAGGAATGGCTACCGATTTTGAGCCCGTGGTTTAATTTTGGTTTCGGTTTTTGTGTGTCTGTGTCTGCCCCTTTGGTTGTCGGAATTTTTAAGAAGAAGGTTAATTAATAGTCCGTAGGGAGCGCAATGCGCACCCCACGCGAAGTTCGTGTCAATTGATGTTGACGTGGATTCTTAACAATTGCCTTATTCTTCTTCTCTTTGCTTTGCTTATATCATCCACCACTCACCGAAACACCGCCTGCTCTTATCGTTATTGGATTCATCCTCCATTAAAAAACTACTTAACGATAATCCTTCAGTAATTAAGATTATATTTGTTTCCTATTGGATTAGGACCTTTACAAGTTAATTAAATTAGAGTTATTAATTCTCTAGCTTCATTCGTTGATAGCATCACCACGGGGCCCCGCCTCCACTCAAAGCCAATCAGCTTCGCCGGAGTGTCTCATTTCCACGCAACCTTATGCGTTTGGTAAAATATAGGTCTTTGTTTATTGGTCTGTCAACTTCAATTTTTTTCTTTCTAATTGGTGGAGGTTTATCCAAGCTCACCTATTTTATACTCGGCTGTATAAGAAAAGGATTTTGATAAAAATGATATATTGTCATTGTGATGTTTGAGCTACGAGTTATGTAAAATAAATCTTATATTAATGGTTGGAGACTTTGCATAACGAAAGTCCTCGATAAACACCAAGACATTTCTCTGTTATTCGTTTGGCTACATTTTTAATATAAACTTTTGTTTTAATCTGTCACTTAGGTTTTTTTGTGAACTCTGATCAAATCGCATACGTTCGATACTAAAATGTCCGTGCTTAGAATCCTCTGTGATACCATACCATAGTTCCCCTGGAAACTTGCCTGATACATTTACTGCTTGTTTGCAGGAGATGTTTTATTTATTTTATTTGGATGCGAGTAACAATTTTCATAGGCATTCATGCAAGTCAATTGTGGTATGGTGGGTGCTATTTCATGAAGAAACCAAAGCTTTACTATTTTATTGGATAAAAAAGATGATTGATTAATCTAATCTAAGATTCTAAATAGTAAATAGTGGTATGAAACATGCAGCATGGTTGTGCTTGTGGATGAGATTATCGGACCCACGTGTCTGACATTGGCAAACATCTTGGCCACTTGGCGGACACGCACCAGGCTCCAAAGAACTACTACTACTCATCCAATCTGAATATGATGATGGCCACTGAGGTAGCAGTTATTCACATTTTAGTCCTCAAACAAAATAATAATAATAATAATAATAATAATAGTTAATTGTGTTGTTTGAGCATTTTAATCAAGTAATGGGGGTTTCAGCCAATTATAATCGGCCATTATATACATTATCGGGCTCAGTACAGGCATGACCAATCCAGAGGAGATGATGGAGATTAGAGATTGGGTCTCTTACCTTATAAAAAAGGTTGGGCTAGCTTCTTTTTTAAATTTTAAATTAAGTAGGCCCACAAATTAAGGTTGGGCTGGCTTCGCCTTGAGGCTGTTTTCAGGCTCCTGGAGTTCGGGTTAGGTCCGCAAGTGACAAAAGTCAAGCGGCCAGGTCAAAGTTATAAGCCCATATTGAGTTTGGAGAGTAGGTCAATACATGTTTTGTGATGTAAAATTGGTTTTTTTTTTAACAAATGATATTATCTATACTAAGATAGCGAGAAAGTGGACTAAGTCTCACAATAGACTAATAATAATATGATTCAAATTCACCTTTAATGAGAATTGAACCTAAAATATCTAACTTACAAATGATGATGAATACCACTAAACTGTAAACTGTAGTACTAAGTGGCGATGTAAATTTGGTTATTGAATTGAAAACAATATGGTCATCGAACAGTCCCTTAAGGAGCTAAACAATATTTTTACATTTGTAAAGAGTTCAATGTTCTTAAACATCATCACCTACCTAGTCTCCTAAATTTTTGACCGGAAAATGTATCAGATGTTCTTAAACATCATCACCTACCCAGTCTCCTAAACTTTTGACCGGAAAATGTATCAGATGTTCAAAATGAATTTCCTCAACTAAAGAATTAATGAATTAATTACAAGGCTTGGCTAACTCAACTGAAGTCAGTCTCTCTCCCTCTTCCAGTCTCCATATCCCGCGGTTATTAACTAGTAAACAGAAAGCAATAAGGGACAAAAATGGCATCGCAACTGTGAATACTGACGAGATTCCACAACTAGTTATTAAGATGGATCAAGTAGTTGGTTCAGTAAAGAGGGAGATAATAATTAAAAGCAAGCGTTTTAGTGGGAGGTGCATGGTGGGGGCGTTACTTTGACAACTCATTTGATATTCCTTCCTTTTACTTTTATTTAATTTTTAATTTTGATTAACGTGTTTGTGTTTTTGCTAGTGCTACAGCCTGCACAGAGATAAATAGATGTTATCATATTAGATAGCTGGGTGTGTGCCTATGGGTCTGCATGTTCTGTTAGTAATAAGAAGAAGAGTAAAAAAATAAAAAAATAAAAAAAAATTCTGCAACCAAGCAGAGCGCGAGATTCCGTTATTAATGTGGAGGCCCTGCAACTGCAACCTTGTTGTTTATGCGCTTCGCTAGCTTCTGCAGAAGTGTGGATCACAGAGAGAGAAGAATATTATGGGCCGGGCGGATGGGACGTTGGCATGGTATTGAATGCTGCTATGGTCCTTTGGCATTAGGGTTTTAATTCGGTAGCTGCGGGTTTTTAATGCACCACCAGCACCCTGCAACAACTGCAATATGCTTCTCTCACTCTCTCTCTCTCTCTCTCTCTCTCTCTTCCTTCCTTAAATTGATCCATGACATCCCCAATTTTCTTCTCATTGCTTTCACTACACCCTCTGCCCTCAATTTCACCATCATCATTATCAATATATATATATATATATATATATATATATATATATATATATCCTCCTCAGCAGTCAGTCCTCTTCAACTTCTTTGTTTTCTTCATTTGCTAAATAATTCTATATATAGTTGATGCAGCATGCAGGAAAAATATAGTGATTTGCGTATATATAATTACCTTATTGAAATAGTTACTGATGTTGGCCCGGTTTCACTCAGAGAGGAAGACTGCTTACTGCTGCATCTGCATGTACGTAGGAACGTACGTTGTGGTTGGTCTCCTGAATCTGATTGAGCCGCGCCAATATCTCAGTGCTCTTTCATCCTCTCACGTCGGCTGCCTCCGCCTCCTTCCTTGCTTGCTCGATGTCGATCGATCTGGTCAGTATTTCAATTTTTTTCTTAATTTCAGTACTCCCCTTTTGATTTTATCCATAATATTCAAACGCATGTTTTATTGTTTTAAAAAATAATTGACATATTATTAACTTTTTTGGTCTTTAGAAAATAAGAAGCAGTGGCTTTTTATTGGGCCAAATTAGAAGGTGAGTACATAAATTACTCACAATTGAATACCTATGTATTATTTTTTTGCGTATTACACTCGCTCAGCTGATGTGACATAAATTACTTCACTCTTCGGTTTTGCTTCGACCGGCGACCATCTTCGTTAATGTAATTAACAGACAACAGTAACCAGAAATATGCTTTATTGGATTGCCAATGTTATCGTGTGAGTCAGTTACTGATTGGACGTTGATGCCTACTTGGTTGCCCGTCCAATTGTAACTAACGTATTTTCACCGTATACATGTCGCTTCATAGCATGTGTAGTTACTATGGAATATTGGAAAAAATTGTTAATGCTGGGAGTAGTAGTACTGAGAAGCAAGAAGGAGAAGAAATGGTTGGAAGTGTAAATGCAGCAGGGGGGAGCGTTGGCCAACGTAATTGCCACGTAAGTACGGACTGTCGGTCGGCTAGCTACTGTTAATTTTCCTCTTGCAAGTCGGAAGCAATTTTAGCATTGAAGGGAAAAGAAAGTATTCGGTTCATATTTATTTGTTATTTTGCTAAGTGACACTTCAAAAAAGGTCATTCAACACTTTTATTAATGTATTTGAAGTGTATGTTGACTTTTCTGAAACCGTAGTTAATGAAATTTGTATTATAATTTCATTTCATCCAATTAGTTAACTTGACGCGATGTAGGCTTTGAATTTATGTTGCCCCATTCGACTTGTATTAGGAAATATGTAAGGATATTTGTTAACAATTTGCGAGTTGGTGATAAAAACCACTAATTTCCGAAAAGATGAAGCATGGAAAATGAAAAAAAAAATCACTAAGAAAAATAACATAAATCCATCACTTGTGGTAACTAAAATTTGACACAACTAACTCTAGTAGCTAAATTTAATCATATATTTGGTTAATTTTGCACCAAGAAACTAAACTAATTTAGTTCCAAATAATATCTTGGAACGTCCATATTCTCACACATGAACCAAATTAATCCCAACTATAAGCCTAGCCACTCATTCGTATCATATGTAGATCATAGATTGTTTGTCCCCATCACTAGTTTGACATACTTGCAAGCTCTCACTCTCCACCTCCCATCACTAAATCCATTGCCACGTCATCGATAGCATCTCCCCCAGCCAATCAGACCCATCCTCACCGGATAACCCTGCCTCCACCTCACCCCCAATGCCACTCGTTCACTATATTCAATCACCAATTCCTCCACCACACAAAACCAATCCCCTCCCACCCTATTAAAACTCACCCTTCCTACCTTCCCCTTTTGATCATCCCTTTTAAAACTTGAGGCGACCGCTCCCTAGAACACATTCACTCAACTACACACAATGGCCTCCGTCACCCCCGCCGCCGTCACTATCCCATCATTCACCGGACTCAAGTCCTCTGGCGCAGCCAAGGTTAGCGCTGCCGTTAAGGTCTCAGCCTCCCCAAGGCAGATGTGCGTCGTCAAGTCATCCCTCAAGGATGTCGGTGTGGCCGTCGCCGCCACCGCAGCCAGCGCTATCCTCGCCAGTAATGCCATGGCCATTGAGGTCTTGCTCGGCAGCGATGACGGGGGCTTGGCCTTCGTCCCCAACAGCTTCTCCGTCGCCCCCGGCGAGAAGATTGTGTTCAAGAACAATGCTGGATTCCCACACAACATTGTCTTCGACGAGGACGAGGTTCCCAGCGGTGTGGATGCCGGAAAGATATCGATGAGCGAGGAGGACCTCCTGAATGCCCCCGGGGAGACCTACGCCGTCACCTTGACCGAAAAAGGTTCATACTCTTTCTACTGCTCTCCTCACCAGGGAGCTGGCATGGTCGGTAAAGTTACCGTTAACTAATTCAGTTGTGTCTGATGAATTGTATTTATGCTTCCTTTTTTGGGAGGTAAAGTAGGGCTTCTGTACTCATCAGATTATATTGCCACGAGAGACAATGTGCGAGGTGAAACCATTTATATATTGAGCGCCTTCCTGTTTTTTCATCATTCTTCTTTGTTTAAAGTTGTTCATTTTGTGTGCTAGCTTTGATTTCATTTCGTTACTTATGGTTGTGCCAGTTAGTTAGGATAGGGTACTGCTATCTGCACCGATTTTTACTTCTCACACATCCTTCTAAATTATCAATCGTCTGATTGAATGAATCGAAGAAGATCAATGACAAAAAATTAACAAGGCTGTGTGAGAGGCAAAAATAAGTGTGTGAACGGACTATCCATTAAGATAATATGTACGACGCAGTGTTGCATCCTAGTTCAGTCCCCTTCTTTATTCAGGGTAGGTTAGGATATTAACTTAAAGAAGGAAAAAAATGTATTAGGTCTACATTCTGAGGGTAAACCAAAAGCAAAAAAGAAATGAAGAAATAAATTGAATTAATTTCAATAGGGTATACACTATTGAGGTGATAAATTACAAGAGCTATGTACCCTAAATTCATTCAAGTAATGGGGTGCTTGCGATCGATCTGTCACTAATACTTGTACGCTCCCACACCTTTTGTATAGTATAGAACCCCTTCTTTCAATCAGGTCAGCATTTTCGGATCGAATGGTGATGAAAATATAAGCATGGGAGAAAAAATTGAAGGAGTCTGCAGCCTGCCTAATGTTTAAGGTTAAGTAGTGAGTGCATCAGGAAGGGTAGTTCGGCCTCCGAGGATCTTACCACCGACGTCAGGGAAACTCTCTCGTCCAGGAATTGCACTTACCTTCCCATTGACATCTACCGCAACCGGGTATTTCATCAAATGCCCTTGTAATGGTGCAAAGTCATCCGCCACAAACCTCGTCCAGTTATCTCCAGCGATAGCGTTCACGCACTTCACACAGTCCAACGTTTCAGCCTCCTTGAAGCATTTGTCCACCATCCCCAAGTGTTCTGCCCAAAGTGACATTCTATACCCATACACCTGGCCACGAGGATGACGCTTCTTCTTACCCCAAGTGTGGTGGGGCTGGTATGCACCCATGGCTATCTCGGTGTCTCTAGAACCCGCCATAGATCGTTGGTTGATATTTGCGGAACCTATGATCACATACTCATCATCTACCACCATTCCCTTGGCATGTACGTAAATCATAAACCGTTGAAACTTTTGGGAAGCCGAAACCTGAAGGAACTTGCACAGGTTGGTATGCAAAAGGCCCAACTTAATTCAACTTTTATGAAGTTATGTTGCAAATGTATAATTACCGTGTGAGATTCTCCGTTTCTGTCAGTTTGATTCACGTGACAGGATAGCGTGTCCGGCAGTGTCTCCCGATTTCCAAGACAGTAGAAGTTTAGGTAGTCATGCGGATGAGCATTCTCCACTTTCATGGCTTTCAGCTCTTTTGCTACGACTTCATACATCATTTGCATTGTCTGTCCCTGTAAACCATCAATTACAAGGCAGTGAGAATTAATTAAGCCGACTTTGTATGAAACTAAAAGACTTCAGTCTTTAATTACCTGCCAATAGAGAATTTCTTGCACAGAAGCAGAGGAGGGAACACCCTCTGGCCACATTGGTATGACGATATAAACTGCGAATCTCTCGTCTGCTCTTATCTTGCTCGCAATCTTTAATGCCAATTCCATCGGGATTAAATTGTCAGCACCTGAATCAAAACATATTTGTTAAGAAATTTAATTTATTGGAACACCCCTTGTTACTAATTAATTGGAATTCATATTTAGTAATAGTATATGAACCTGCTTCTTTGTAAGCTGGCCATCCATACGACGATCCGACAAAATACTGATTCTCAATGTATATGAAGTGTTGTGCAGATCGGATTGCATCGATGTATGCTGTTTGTATGCTCTTGTCTACTACCAAATTCTTGGCACAAACAAGATTCTGCAGCAAAACAGAATACCAAAAAATTCACTGATTAATTTCTGCAGTAAAAATAACTATGTTGCGAAGTAAGATCATGCCGTCTGAAAGAATAGCCAACCTGAGCCTCTGCTTTATAAACATCCTTAGGAAATCCCTTCAGAGATCCAGAATCTATGGATCGAAAAACCTGTCAATTTACCAATCGAATAATCAAACAACTGCTAATTAAGGCCTAGTATGGTTAGGATATTTGATTAGTATTTATATGTAAGCCATGTGGTTGCAGGAAATGCAGTTAGATAGTAGTACCTGAACATGCCAGTTTTGAGGGTCATTTTCATCTGAAACCCATAAGGCGGGATCATCCTTGGCAGTTGATGGGGAGGGACTAAGTATCCATGAGATGCGCTCCAATTTTATCAAAGCATCGTCATGCCAGCGAGATACTCTTTTGAATCGTTGGCCCAACTCCGACCATTTTGTGGCTTTTCTCCAACGCTGCTCAAAATTGGTAAGCACATCATAGGCAGCCGGCCCTTCTATCTTGCAATGCAAATCATGCCACGGTTGCCTTGGACCCTTTGTTCCTCCCTACATACATACGTGACATACAATCTCATTTAGCTAAGGTTCGTTTAATAACTATTTCATTTATAGTTATTAGATTTCAAAACGGAAAATGCAATTTTTTTACTCACAGAAAGTGTGGGATTATGATAATCATCCTGGAAAACACTGTCGAGGTCTCGAAAGAGGCGATGCTCAGGAGTATCATAGCGGCCATCACAAAGGTCTAGACCTCCTATGAAGGCGGTTATCTTTCGGTTATTTCCAGATGCTTGTGTATCCACAATCACACATTTCTGGTGATGTGTAAACAGGGTTCCAACAACCTACACAGAAGAAGATCATGTGTGAGAACGTATTATAGGTAAATCTGGTCCGTAAATTATTATTCATACTTAAACTCTGTTCATATATGTGGATCAATAGATAAATGAAAAGCTAAACAGTGAGTGAACCATGGTTTAAGGCATGCCTGTTGCTTGAAAATGCTAAGCTTACTGCTCGCATATCGAGGTGCAAGCACGCATGAAACCGAAGAGTGCTTAAAGAACTTGCGGGTCTCTTCGTCATGAGTTTGCATCACTCCATTCTGCATACACAAGTAACAGAACTCAGTATTCCAAATCAAAATCAATTTTTACAAGATGTAGTATCAACTTAAAATGGTAAATATATTCGACTAATTATAACATGCTCGTTTGGATTGTTTATGTAAGAAGCACTACTGCGCATAAGTGATTTTAATTAGAAAGATTCAATTTTTACTCAACTCGAGTTCAAATAGTATGCTTTCTAGAGTACTTCTATGATCTACATGCATTTTAAGCTTTTATACCAAATATGGGTAGATGGCTTTTGGTTTAAATATTTATAAATGCATTTGGCACAAAAATTTGAAACGCTTTTGTGCCAGTTTGGTAAAAGAAACTCAGGTTTGGAAGAGTTTAGCAGAAAAATTTAGGGAACTTTAACGAAAAACACCTGGTACTGTTCACTTTAACGAAAAACCACATTTTTACACTAAAAAGTCAATTCTGGTACTATTCACTTTACCCTTTATTTTGTCCTTATCATTAAAACTCAAGCTCTTTTCATTAGTTTTCCTAAAAATTTATGATGCTTTCGCTGCATTTGACGAACACGAAAGCATTTTAATTTTTTTTATTTTTCCTACCAAATGTTTGTACCTTCATTCAGCTGAATTAATTGCTCCATTTTCATGCAATGGTTGTTTAACTCAAAACTTTGTTTTGTGACTCATTGCAAGAACGCCATTGAAGAAGAAAACGAAAAAAAAAAAAAAATCAATAAAAAGGGTACCGTATTGATGAAGAATTTGCTGTGAGAAGTCTTGTCATCCCAAACGAGCAGCAGAACTCGCAAGCCTTCTTCGGACTTGTACTTCAGCAGCTCCCCCAGGTTCAAATTCCCGCCGCTCGGCAGCGGCTTCGTCGGTTCTCGCACCAGCTTCACCTGATGATAAATTGACCATCCCACAATATAAACCAAATGATGCGCCTCCAATATCGCGTGGCAGATATCCTCCCAGCACCTCCCGTGCTGAAAAGTAACGCCGTCGTCCAGTTCAATCTCCTCCAGCATCGCCTCCGGCACGTGCGCGTCCTGGTACAGCGTCACGTGCCCTCCCTGCCGAACCGGAAAATAACAGTTTCGGATCCCGAAGTGGTCTGGATCATTCGAAATACCGTGCCGGTACATGGGATTGTCCTCGCATTTCGTGAACCGCATCTCGAGCTTAACGGCCGCGTCGGGCTTCGGCGGCTTGCCCAACGGCCCGATGATCGGGAACCAATCGCTGATCGTTTCGCCGGAAAGGATTCTAACCGCCGAGACGGACGCGACGCCGATTAAATCTGCGCCAAACATGTCGTTGTCTTTGACGTAGAATTCGACCTGCGAGACGGGGTGGGCCAGGGGGATCTTGAAATGCTCTTTCCAGACGGGGTTCTGGGAGTTGGAAATGACGCGGGTGCGAGCCACTGTGGCACCGGCGAGGCAGACGGTGACGTAGGGGTCGCTGGTGATGATTTTTCCGTGGGAGTGGTGGGCCGCCGGGCGTGTAAAAGGCTTGCTACAGGCCGAGAAGAAGCGGCGGAGGCGCTCCGAGACCATATCCATGTTGGGCAAACATCGAGCCTCGAGAATTTTCAAATCAAGGTCGCCGTGGAGGTAGACAACCATCGTCTGAGATTTATCTTCTTCTGCCGCCATTAGTTATACAATGCAAGCACTAAGAGGGATGAATGTGAGAGCTGCCGTTGGCTGTTGCCGGAGGAACCAGGAGTTGGAGAGTTTTAGGAATTGGCCGACGTTGACTTTGTGGAACCGTCAGAAGGTGGAAAGTGTTGTCTCGTTTAGGCTTCGGATCCTCCGACGAAGCCAACGGCGAAAACCGGTGGCGGTGAAAGGCAGGAAAAATATGGGGGAGGTTGCGATCCTCCTACGAGGGAAAACGTGAGTGGTGGTGTGTCGCGGCATATATGTAAAAATTCGTATGGGACGCGTGGAGGGCGACGTACGCGAGGATTATGAAGAGAAGGTTTTGAGATTTGACCATTTTTAGAAAATTAGTAGCTTAATTAAGGGATTTTGTGGGTTGGCGCCTTGGTGGCATTTTTCTGTTTTACTGTGTGATCGTTATATTTGATGCCACAATCATTTTCAAAATTAGGTAGAAAACTGAAATGTTGTTTTTTAAAGAGTGTGAACTAATATCGTTTGTAATAAAATGATGGAACAAGTAATACACCGTGATAATATTCCAGCAGTTTATCCAACAAAAATAAAATAGAATTAGATTATCCAAGCCTTCTATTTTTTTTTTTTAACAAACGATAGTATCTACACTAAAAGGTCAGAAAATGGGCGAAACCTCACAATGAGCTAGCAATGATATGGTTTAATTTAATTTTTGGCGAGAATCTAACCTAAAACCTCTCACTTACAAGTGAAAAAGAATATTACTAGACTGTAGTACTAATTCACGATTATCCATGCTTTTTAAATCTAGATATTTAGGGCGAATTAATTACAATATCATAGGGATTTTTTTTCTTTTTTAAAAAGGAAAATTAGGGAAGGAGTGCAAGCTTTAGGCATATAACCTTGAAATTAATCAAGACATTATTGTAATTAGCACTTTTGGTCTGTTCTTATGAACAAGAATATTACATGAGTTTTTGACTGCCACTTTTGCCCTTGTTCAGAATATACCTCCACGATGTAAAGAAAGTTGTCTTTTTTTAATCTAAAACAAAATGGTTTCTCTTTTTTTTATATTGTTAATTTGTTCTTAATCCCACGCAATTGTCCGCCACGTTTTGGTGTTGCCGTCTCGGTAACATTGTGGTAGTGAAATTCTAATATTAATTAGGTTTGAATTGGTGTTATCTAGATCATAGAAAATGAGTTGTCTAACTCTAATTTAATATGCTCCCTTTTTTGGGGGGAACCTTGATCATATGTTGACTTGAGATTTGAGACCATATTCAGATACATACCACCCCAAAAACAAAATAGGGAGCAGAGAGAGATGTTAATGTGATGGGACATGGGAGCCCATTATCGGTGATCCCATAAATCTAGAATAAAACTAAAGAAAATGGTTTAAAATTTTTGAATTTTAACAAAAATGATAAAAAATTGTTGTAAGTGAATGATACCATAATTGACTTTTTAGAGTAAAAATATATTTTTCGTTAAACTAAATAGTATCGAGAGCTTTTCGTTAAAGCTCCCTAAATCTAGAGATTTTTCAATGTTTAAAAAAATAAATTTAGAATCACTTATATTATAACAGATGATGTACTAAATCGTGTTCCGACAATCGTAAAAAATATATCTCATAAACCTTGCATGTGCCTCTCCCATAAACATTACATGTGCCTCGCCAAAATACAGTTAGCGAAACAGCCAACAAAAATAAAAAAAATCATTTAGAAAAAAACCAATTCCAAATGCCGGCCTCGTTTGGCAGTTCGGACTGTACTGACTATTTCTGTCGGATAAGATAAATAATCACCGGATAGTACTGACTAAATTAGTCAGGCGTTTGGTGCAGTATCGAATTAATGACCGTATTATTTATACTGTGTTTTGAACCGGATAAGACAAGAGAAAGAAAATCAACAATTCTATTCAGTGTAAACCACAACAAAGCAATACTTCAACACCCAATCAACAATTCAACAACCCTAGTCCAAAATTATTCACACATATATGGAGCACAATTCCAGAAGTTCAGCTCCACCCCCAGGTCCCCCACTCGATTACAGTTCTCCAACTGTTGCAGCGGAAATTGGATTGGACAAATAGATAGGAATAAAGAAATAAAATTTTAATATCATTCAACGAAATTGTTCATAATTTTCGTCATCCAGCCAAAACCAAAATTGGGGAAAACGAAAAGGGGCTGGGTTTGGGTGGAGCAGGTAGAGAAGATGAAGAAATTTGCAGGTGGGGTTGGATGGCAAAATTAGGGAAAACGAAAAGGGGCTGGGTTTTGGCGGAACAGATGGAGAAGAAGAAGAAATTTCTAGTTACAAAATTGGGGAAAACGAAAAGGGGTTAGGTTTAGGCAGAACAGATAGAGAAGAAGAAGAAATTTGCAGGTGGGAACAAAGAAAGAAGAAGAAGAAATTTGCAGGTGGGGTTGGATAGAAAAATTGGGGAAAGCGAAGAGGGGTTGGTTTTGGCAGGAGCAGGGAGGGGATGAGGAGGAGGATAAGAAGACGCAGGGCGCGATGCGAGATGGGAAGGAGAGAGCAGAGGAAGTGAAACTACCCGACCAATAATACAGAGGATTTTGGGAGGATAATTTAGCGGGCGCACACAGTATAAAACGTGTGGGGCCAGTTTAATTAATCCGGATACTATTTAGTACAAATTTGCACCAAACACCTGCGTCCGTACTATTTATCCTATCCGGTGTGTTATACGGGTTGCTAAACGAGACTTATATGTATGTTTTAAGCTTATTGTACGAGGAAAGGAAACAAGATTCCACTCTATGCTTTGCTTTCTTTTGCTTAAGTTTAATGCACGGCTCCATTACCAAAAAACTTGAGTAAAGGTGTTCGACTATATCATTCGTAAAACACTTTTCACAAACACAAACATGAGATTTTATTTGTTAACTTTATTTATGCGAGTACTCACTTTAATCAGGCAACTAAACTTGATTAGTAATATCAAGCATCTAAAGTTTTTCTCTTGGAGAAAATAGATGCTTAATATTCATAGATAACAGTTTTATAGTTTAATCATTGATTAGTAATATTCACTAAGCTTCATCAAAGTTCCATCAATTCAATTATATAAAGAACCCCACCCCCACCAAAACAAAAACAAAAAAACCAAAAAAGAGACATGAAAAGTATAATTTCACTCTGTTACAGACCAGAGCATGTTTCTGAACCTCCTCTCTTCATATGATCGGAGAATTTCAAGGATTGGGATTCTCGGCGTCATGTTTACTGCCAGTGCCGAAGGTGACTTGAGTAAACTAGGGCTCCGTGTGATTGCAATTGCCGCTGTTCCGTTGGCTCGAAAGGGAAGGAGCAGCCCTTATCATCACGCTTTGAATAAAGGCTATCATCTACAAATTAATGCCAATTGCCAAATACAAAGATGAAATAATAAGTCGATGCAGAACATATATAACAGATACAAATAACTTGGTTGGTTCTTACCGCAGCAAATCCAACGCAAATGAGACTAAATCCAGGGAAATTAAAGGGTGCCTTTTCGGACAGAAACAAAGCTGCAAGAACGGCTTGAATTTCTCAGTTCGAATTAGCTTTTGGCCGGAAAAACTAGTATTGGAATTACAATTCACCTGTGAGAGGAGAGAAAGCAATCGGAGATATCACATTTGCAAGTGAACATATGCCTGAAATGCATCCTTGAGCCTTCCCCTGAAAACAATGTACAAGAAAGTCATGCATTGCCAAAAGAATTGGAGCCCAAGGGGCAGGGCAAGGGAAGCAACATCCGAAATGCATATAGAAATTTACCTGCTCGGACGGACCAATTTGTTTCGATACAATGCTTCGCATCTGTGAAGTTTGAACTGAATCGCTTTAAATACAACATTTGAGTAACGTTTAACTTGCAAAGTTTGACGAATCTTACGCATGGTTGTGCGAACACAAAAAAGATGGAAAACATGGCAGCAGCATATGGCACCCAGAAGGACCACGCAATGCCATAAAGAAACATCTGCACTCGATTAGTAAATGGTTAGCTAAAATGGACATGTTACTTTCGGTGAGTAAATAAAAGACGGCTAGATATTACATGTGCACAGCTAAAAAGGAGGCCTATCGAAAGTAGCCTTTCCTCTCCTAAAGCCGGAGCCAGCAAGGGCATTAGAACCAGCTGCGTCAAGGTTTATTTTTAGTACCATGGAAAATAAAACCAAAACTGCGGAAAAAGGAGGTATGCGGAGTATCAAAAGACAGTAAACAAATGCAGTACCTGTGAAACGGTGCCTGCTACCCCGGAAATAACCATCAGGTCCGCAAACTGATCCTTGTTGAAGTGAAACCGCGCCTTTAGAAAGTACTGCTCAACAAACAATGATTTTCGATCTCAGCAGCATTTCTAATGTTCAATTTAGCTTACCGCTACATAATTAGATGCAAATCATCCACAAACAACGAGTTTTTTGTGAACTAATCACACTAATGTCCGCATTGTAAAAAACTGAAAGCAAACGACAATAAAAAGTGCAAAAAATGGAAATTAAATAGATAATTACTAATTCGTAGGATGAGAGACGTACCATCATTGAAGCATGAAGGCCAACATCCGCAAGATTACTGAAAAACGCAACAATTGCAGCTTGCGAAAACGTCGTGCTGCAAATTAATTAAAGTGTAAGCACTTACTTGAACTACAAGTCTGCAAATTAAGTAAGAGCAACCCTTTGCAGGAAAGTGACTGACCTGGTTTTCAATAAGGAGATAAAATCACTTAAGGAAGGCAATGTTTTGGCTGGCTGCAATATCTGAGCACTTGAACTTTCAGCTGAATCCTTAATTTTGATCTTTTCATCCGACAGTAACGGAGCGGAAAGGTTATTGTCTCTGTTGGAATCCGGTAGGAAAACCCTCATGTACATTACTGCCACAACCGCCACCACTGTCGCAACCTAATAATAATAATGTTAATGATTATAAAAATAATGCAATCATATCACAATTATGCATGTTAACGGAGAGGACAGAGTCCTGGAGAGAGATTATTGGACCTGAAAAGCGGAGGAAGTGGAGACGAAACGAGTGAATAAGGTTCCGCAGACAAATGCAGAGGAACTAATCCCCGATAGGACTCCGAACGTCGAGGCTCGCCGCCCTTCTGCCACATTATCTGCCTGAAAATCATTGATATTTCACACCTTCATCAAAATTTCAAATCAAACAACGAACAATATGAACTGCACACCGAGGCCGATTTACGGCCTAATAGTCGGTGACTAATGGGCCTGATATCCTTAGTAAGCCCAAAAACGACAGAAAGATTAGAAAGTTACCACATAGGCAAGGGCGAGGCACTGAACGCTGCCTTCACAAAGCATGGCGGTTAGAGTTTTGACCGCGAAGTAGACGTAGAAGAAACTCTTACTCCTGCTGTATCCCAATATCCCTGTAAGCGTTCAATTACCCCCATTTCTTGATCAATCGTTTATTGGTTACTTTTCGGAATTGTTATTAGTAATCTAAAATAGTTATCTCAAACTCGTTACTCTTTTAATTTTTTGAATTAAAAAAATATATATAGTAACTAATTTGAAGTGTCAATAACAACCACGTCAAATTGTCGAGAAATCAAAATTTAGAATGAGAGCTTGATGTTAAGCAAAAAGAAAAGAAAATAAATAAAGCCAAAGTATTGTCATTAAAGTTCTCTAAATATCATGTGTGACTTTTATCTTTGTTAGTAGTTGGTTTGGATCTAAAGAGTTGAAAGATTACCCAAGGGGATAATTGTGGAGATCATTGGCAGTGTAAGCAAAGCTTTTCTTCCACACTTGTCTGAGAGATTACCTACCAATGGCATCATCACTAGTGTTCCCAGCCCTACGATCTGAATCAATCATGCACAAATCAGTGTATTTTCAACCAAAGATCATTGACAAAGGATGGGCTAATTGTTACGTTCTACCCACTTTCTTTTTTTATTCAGTTAAAACCCTCCATCCATTCCTAATCAAATTTTCCAAAGGAAAGTGATTTTCGAACATTGTTTTCTCCGCATGCATGCATTCGTTTATTTTTAACATTTAGATTGAATAAATTAAAAGTGAATTTTATGAACAAAAATAAACACATGATTTAGGAAAACAAAAAGAAAAAAAATGCAGATTTCAGTTTACATTTTTCAGTTGTGGAGATGTTTGTAAAGATTTCAGTTTACATTTCTCTTTTTATTTTTGCAATTTTATTTTGGTCGGGGGCTAAGAAATTGAGGTTTGATGATATTTTTTAGGGACACTTTGGATGCGGTCCCTATCAATTAATATTATTTGGCTGAAACCTTGTATGTTTTTAGTTTTTTATCGAAGTTCCTTACATTAATGTAATATTGTAAGTTATTATATTTTTTAAATTAAAAATTAAAAATTAAAAATTGTATTTGTTTATATTAATGAGATTTTAAATATAACCCATAATTTGTGGGATTAAAAATAATAAAAATATAAATTATACTCTCTATTATATTGTGTGTGTGTGTGTGTATGGGTACATTCATCAAAATTAACAAAAAAAAAATTATTTCACCAAAACATGGATACATTCTTCAAAACACACCCAAAAAAAAAAAAAAAAAAGATATTAGGCTTAATAACATTAGTAAATTTCTTCAATTAAACTTGACATAAATACATTCTCAAATCAAGCAAAAAAGAATGTATCCATTTAAGTTTAAAAATGGATTTAAAAAATTGGATACATTTTATATTAAAAAAAAGGTACATTTTACATATAACAAATTGTATGTTTAAGAATGGGTACATTTAATATTAAAAAAAATATATGAATGGGTACATTTAAGATTAAAAAATTGAGAATCTTTTCATAAAAAACTAATGGGTACAAACTTATTCTAATTTAATTTTTCTTTATTTTGGAAATGTTTGAATTGAAAATTAATTAGGAGTTTAATAGAGCTGTGAGTATTAAAACCCTAAATTAATTACTAATTTTTATTTTAAAAAATATGTAATAAACATGTAAATTCATTATCACATTAATGACAGGTACTTCAATAAAAATTTGAAAACTAAGAGCATCTCCAAGGGAGATGTCAAAATTGCCACATAGGCATACAACAGTAAAAAAATGGCAGCAAACTCTTTCCAACCGAGCCTTTAATTTCTTAGGTGGCGCTCAGTCATATGAAGGCAAAGCCTTTTGCTATCAAATTTGATAGCAGATGTCAAATCTATCCCGTGTTATGTGGATAATAACAAAAAAATAATGTTAGGGAGACTAAATTTGTAAACAAAATTTTGTAAATTAAATGACATGGAAATTGATGATAAGATCATTACTTAACCGTTGATAAACGTACTCATTTCCTATTGATGACATATCATTTAGTTTGTAAATTTTGTGTATAAATTTAAGCTATCTAACATTACTCGTAACAAAGAAAGAGAGACAATATATATATATATATATGTATATGTGAATAGTTACATATGAAGCGGGGGGTGTGGTGGACAGCATTTCAGTGAGATAACGAGAGCGATGAAAGCAGAACAGAGAAGGGACTCGACTGAACTCGTAAAAGTGTGGGTGTGGGGCCATGATTTTGAAATTTTGCTCCACTTCCTTGAATTGAAAGACCTTTCTTAAATTGAAAGATTAATATTATTGAATCTGAAAGTTGATTAGAGCCCAAGCAAAGGAAATGGAAGTTTCTTTTAAACAAAAACAAAGTTTTGTCGCTTCAGTTACCATCACTTGAGTTAGTTTAGCTGATCAAATCCTTTCATGGACATTTGGTTTGATGCAGTACTAGAAGCCTAGAGCTAGATGATATGATATCAATTTGCTTCTTGCGGGAATAATCAAACAATTATGAATGTTAAAAATGATATGTATTTAATTAGACGTCGACAATTAAGTTGATTAGTTGGTCATTTGGGTTATAGCATCTAAGTCAGAAATTTGCACGTACCGCTTGTTGAAATCCGGTGAGGTAGATAGCGATGGAGCACTCATCTCTTCCAGGACAAAGGGCAGACATTGTAACGTCGGTGATGGCCGGGATCACCATGAACGTGGCGAAGTTGTGCAGAAAGACTGTCATGAAGAGGTGGCTCAACCCTGCCGAAAGCCTTTCCATCTTGCGATCACACCACTCTTTAATTGGTCAGTAACTAAATTGAGAAGTGAGGAAAAAGGATCGACAGCTCAAACGAACGACACCGCCCACTGCTTCCCTGACCGAACTGGCTTAGCTACTATTTGTACATAATCAGGAAAAAAGGGGTTATATTTAAAAGAATTAAGAAATGCGTGCAGTGTGTGCCGTACACTTTTTGTCTTGAAATATTTGCTATATACAGAGATCGGGAGCCGGGAGGGGAGTACTTAACTGTGTAAATAGGATGTTTAAGGGAAATGAATTGCCCAAAAGCAACAGAGTGGGAAGGTGAAGCAAAAGGATGCGTAGCTTGTAAGTTAATTGCCTTAAATATGTATAGGTCCCATTTCCTAAGCGTGTGGAATGTAATTACGTTTTGATGCGTCCAAGTCTCATCTACTATCTCCCTCCTCTCCTCTCAGTCACCTTTCTACGTGCTGCTGTCCATTTGTTTCCAATGAGTTTTGTAGGTAAAATTGGGGGTGAATTTTAAAATTTAAAATCTATTGAGGAAAGACCACCTTAAATGCGAATACCTTTCTACTTTCTTTTTTAGCTTTTTATGGTAATGTTTACTCTATCGTTATGATTTATGACGTTATCATGCATTTCTGTTAGTAGGTTCAACACAAGAAATCGATTACTTGAATAATTATTTAAGAAATCGCCTAAGACTGGTAGTTTATATCTCATACTTGAACAATCAAGTATTGTTTCGATTTATGACTCCAAGCATGTGAACATCCACACCTGGATAGTAGCACCCATTTTCATGTTACTTTGACGACAAAGTTTGAACAAAGGATTAGAGCAATTACGAATAAATAACTATTGCATGTTTTAGATTGTTTATGGGAATATTAAATGTGCTCTAACAAAATAACGTTTATTATTGCATTTGTCAGAAAAAGTTAAACATGTTTATCGGTCATATAAACACTTTATAAAGAAGCACTTGCTACATTCGTTGTATTCATGTCGGACTGAAATAATCGGCCCATTCGAGGGCCCAAGGAACGAAAAATGCCAGTTTAGACACTTGCTAGTTCACATTAAGCATTAGAGGGCTTGTGGGCCGTGCCATTCCCTTTCCCTGGTTGGGTTTTGACTGAACGCAGCAAGCCCTAGTTTGAGATACCCAAACATACATGCGACCAGGCATTGGCCCAGTTTGAATCGAGTCCGAACCATGTATGAAAAAAGACCAACTAATTTGCGTGGTCACTTCTTTGGAGTTTATCGTACAATTATGTGAACTTTGTCCAAGCAAACTAAAACATATGTTAAGAGTGTGAACTCCGAGCGAATTTTATAAGTTGAGTCATTATTTTCATTGTCAATTAGTTTTAAGATAGAAGTTCATGATATCAGAGTAAGTTAGAGCACATATCGAGCTTAACGCTGCACGTGAAATCAAAATGAAACAAAAATGATGAAATGATTAGACGAGGAAACTAGAAAAACAAATTAAATTAAGTGCTGCAATTACTGTATAATGGAAATGAGGAAAACACATCCGATTGCACAAAACGAGCGGAGATTGGAAAAAGGAAGACTCATTGGAATATTCTTAATTACCTAAACAAGAAAAAGAAAAGACGGGCAAATATTTAGAGACCCGAAAGCAACTTTTTGATTTATTTTTTCTTGATTCAGGAAAAATAGAAGCAAAGAAAAAGAAGAAGTAGGAAAATCAGCAAAGTCCGTGGAGTCACTGTTTGATAAAGAAGGTTCCACGTGATTGGCTCGTTACCATGTGGTCCGCCGCCTACGACAAAACTGAAAGATCAAAGTCCAGCCATATGGAGATTCTGGGTCCATAGGATAGGACTGTTTTGATTTTTTTTTGGCCGAGGGGCATTTTCGTCCTACGGTTTTTGTTGAAGCCAGTGACATCAAAATGGAGCTCTAGCGTTATATACAAGACATGTATGTATGCGTCTATTGCAATATTTTTTTTTCTCCAAAACAACTAGAAAAAATGTTTTGGAAAAAAAAGGGAGCTGGCGCTCTTATCCTATTGATCCAGAATCTCCCTTTCAGCCAACTTGAGTAGGCAAGAAATAAAATATTTAAAGCGAAGTTGGTTTCTCTCATGGGTCATGAGTGTGCAAAATTGCCCCCCAAAAGCTTACAAGTGATATCGTATATCACGTGGAGTTGCGATCTGGCCGGCCTGTGTTATACAGTACTATTGTATTGGTGGTTTTGATGAATATGAACAATATTCACCCTTCACTCCTTCAGTTGAGTGTGTGTGTGTGTATATATATATATAATAAAATAAAACTCACACTCACTGTCCACTGGTGTGTGAAAATACTTCAAATATGAACAATATACATGTTTTTAGTTTTGATAAATAATAATTTTAATATTAATTAGTAGTGAATCATTGAAACTGCTTTAAAAATTGAAAAGTATAATTAACAGAGTCTAAAATCTGGAATTGAGAGATATTAATTAACAAAGTATAATCAATCTGTTTTTAATTAGTAGTGAATCGTTGATTCAGCTTTTAGCAATCTCTGGTCCTCAGTCAACTCAAGTCTGAAATCTGGATCCACACTTGAAACTCCAGACTCCAGAGGAGCAAAATATATTTATTTGTTTATTAAAATGAAAGGAAACACCAACAGCAATAACATGTCACGCTGCAGCACTTTGAGAAAATACATTAAAAATAACACAAGATTCTTTACTCTACTACTCTGTTATAAATATATATATATATATATATATATATCTGGGCATGTGTCATAAGAATTGAGAAATAATTGATAAACATGGTTGGAAAATGTATGAGTTTGTGAGATGAGGATTGAGGGATGCATGTGCATGTGCATCAGTGCATGCATATATAAAGTGATACATTACAGACCCACACACAAAGAGACACAGTCACACACAGAGCCTCTTTGTCTTTCGGAAATTAACATCATCAACGGCCACAATTGCACGGCATTAGATTCAAGCCGGCCAACAAATCTAGTGGTCCCCCTACCATTTTATCATTTCTTAATTATTAAGATTAATTCAAAGAAGGGAATTGTTATCAGTACTTCAAAACTCGTATTCTACATTCCTCACAAATGTATTTTTCTTTTTAATTATAAAAAGTTTGGAGTGCAAACTGAGATTTTTGGAATGCCGTTAACAATTCTCTCTTAAAGTGCGATTCTCTATTAACTCTTTACTATCTCACCCGTTAAATTTAATTATTGTACCAACATTTAAAAACATTGTACAAAAAGATGAAGTGACAGATAGTCTAACTTTTGATAATCTCCTTAGCATTTCTCTCTTCTCTTTTTAAGTGTTTGTACATTGTTTTAAAAACAAGAACGTTCTGTACTCACTCTTTTGTATGCCATACGTTTAATCAAAATATATACTAGGATAATGCTATTAATATACCCATTTTTATTTCCCACATACCTTTATTAATTTTTTGTCATTTATCTTTTTCAATTTATTCGATCCAACAGTCGAAAATTAAAACAGTATGTAAAAAATAAAAATTAATGTGTGGATAGCACTATCATGTGTTTCCTATCCACTAATTGTTACAATTTTTTTTAATCATTAAAAATAAAATTCAACCATCAACAACCACATCATATAATTGATAAAATATCGTCTAAAAAAATGGTTTATAAAATATAATATAAAAAGATATTCTTGTTCATACTTTTATAAAGTTTGTAATCCTACATTCAATGGACCATGATTTTCATAATCTACAAAACCTTTCCACCTTCAATGAATTCCATATTGAAAGGATTGTGTTTCCATATGTATGTTTTTTATTTCCTAATTCTTCTAACTTCTAAATATCACAGATGTGTTTTGAATTACAAAAGCATGCACTTTGTAACGTTTTTCATAAATTATCCTTCACCAACATAAACACGGCTCGGGAATTGACACAGGATATTATTTATGCTAGAATTATTTCTTTATTAATTTTCAATTTGTGGTATGTGATAAAATCAACGTACAATAATTTTAATCGGGCAATACCAACAATACTTTTTGGTTGAGAAGAACGACCATTATCAGAAAAAGATAAAAGTAATTTACAGAAAGTCCCCTAGATTTATTTAAATTACAGTCGCTGAAGGTAATCGGAAAAAAACCTCACAGAGTTGGAACTCCCCTTTGTCGCCTTCTAATTCCACGTGTTAAAAAACAGATACCCGGATCCACGCAAGAAGCTACGCGCGTGCAATTAGCAATATTGAATGCAATAATAAAAGTTAAATACTCGTACGTTGCCAAACACGATTATAGGGAGCGACTCAAAAATTTCTCCCAGTCTTTCAGTCCTTTCCGTCTTCGCCATTCCTCTCCTTTCCAATGGACTCTCTCACTCTCTTTTGTACGGGCGCTCTCCTCGCCGGCGGGATCTATTGGTTTGTCTGCATTCTTGGCCCTGCCGAGCGAAAAGGCAAACGTGCCATGGATCTCTCCGGTGGCTCCATCTCCGCCGAGAAAGTTCAAGATAGCTACGACAAATATTGGTCCTTTTTCCGCCGCCCAAAAGAGATCGAAACGGCCGAGAAAGTCCCCGACTTTGTGGACACCTTTTACAACTTAGTCACCGATATTTACGAGTGGGGTTGGGGCCAGTCCTTTCACTTCTCCCCGCACGTCCCCGGCAAGTCCCACAAGGACGCCACGCGCCTCCACGAGGAGATGGCCGTCGATCTCATCGACGTGAAACCCGGAGACCGAATTCTCGACGTCGGATGCGGCGTAGGTGGGCCTATGCGTGCCATCGCGGCCCACTCGCGCGCCAACGTCACCGGGATCACGATCAACGAGTACCAGGTTAAACGGGCGCGTCAGCACAATAAGAAGGCCGGCCTCGAATCGCTCTGCGAGGTCGTCTGCGGGAACTTCCTCGAGATGCCGTTCCCGGAGAACAGCTTTGACGGCGCGTACTCAATCGAGGCGACATGCCACGCGCCGAAGTTGGAGGAGGTGTACGCTGAGATCTTCAGGGTTCTGAAGCCGGGGGCTCTGTACGTGTCGTACGAGTGGGTGACGACGGACAAGTACAAGGGTGACGACGCCGAACACATGGATGTCATTCAGGGGATCGAGAGAGGGGACGCCCTGCCGGGACTCAGGAGCTATACGGATATTGCGGAGACGGCGAGGAAGGTCGGGTTCGAGGTGGTGAAGGAGAAAGATCTGGCCAAGCCGCCGGCGCAGCCGTGGTGGAATCGATTG